AACAAAGTTAAATGCCTTCACACATTAGCAATCATCCTGTCTTCTCTTCCACCTACCTTAATAATAATAAACCTGGCTACCGGGGATGTTGAAGTTTGTTTGAAGGATACTAAAGATGATACGACCAAGGGGTCAAGTATAAAATCATGTTTGTTAAGTCATCTTATTACAAAAGGGAGAAGTCATCACAGAAGGATAAAATTATTTGCATATTTTCTAAAGAAAAACAGAATATACCTCCCTGATCCTAAACATATAGCTTGCGTTATATGTGTGGCTATGTCAATTCAAATTGATAATTTCGTTCGAAGATATCAACCAAAAGTTCAGGCTATCTACATCATGCCGTTAAGACTTGATTCTATAACTGCAAAAAATGGGAAAGCACAATTTCATTTTCTTTAAAGGAGACTATGTTGAAGGCATAAACAACTCTGGAACCCAGCATACCATCTCTAAGCTATGCTTATTGTTCCATAACCTTCAAGCAAAGTTTAAGCTTCTTATTCTCAGCAGTCAACCCTATAATGTCTCTCTGCCTCATGAGATAGAAATTAGTTTACCGTTCAGTTTTTTTTTTTTGGGTCAAAAGTATTTATTTTCATGACATTTTAGGATTTAGGAGTTACAATTATTATCTTTCCAAAAAAATCATTATAACCATTAGATTATATTAAGGGTTTCCTAATCCACCTGACAGAATACTTAATATTTACTGCTTTTTATTTCTCAGACAAAGACAGGAACCCTTGCCCACTTGCTATGTTGTAGCAACAAATTAATGTTGCATTTTAGCCATTAGGGCCTACATCAAGATAGTTAATATTACCCTAAAACACCGTGTAAGAATCATTCATGATGAAAAAATTTAGCAATCTCCTTTGACTCAAAGCAATAATATTTGTCATACATGAGTAAAATCACTAGCACAAACCAAAACTTTGTGTTTTGATTATAGACGCTAGCATTCATAGCATCTAGTTCAATGTCAGATTATCGATTTGAAGACCAAACAGAAGAAGGCAATTACTAGAAATACAATTAAAGCTTGATCGAAAATATAATTCGCATAGTTCACAAATCAGTAAAAACTTTTGTAGCTCAAAACAAAATTAGTGCCTTATCTTTCTTATTTCTTAGAAATAGATTCCTCTAGCTAAGAAATGAAATATAATTGAAAAAAACCTTTCACTGCATCATTGTTATACGCATTTCTAATTATATGAGGAGACGTACAAACCAACTAGAATCAAGTAATGAACTGACGGTTCATCTAAGTAAAACCCTAAGAGAACCTGTCTTTTACAACCTTAGCTATGAAGACACCACAAGGTTGATCAATCCTTTGATACTGTCGAGTATTCTGACAAAAATAAGAGGATGGGATCAAAGCTCACACATAAAGAAATAAACTTAATTCTTATTCATCTAAGTCTTAAATTCAAGTACAAAAACGTAACCTATACGTAGGCAACCATAGAACATTATAGAATCAGCATCCTAAGACATAAATGCTAGGGATGATATCAAATTAATGATTAGTTGAATATGAGAGACACCATTTATGACATAGAGATAAAAGGAAATATTTAAATTTCAAGAACAAATTTGCTATGTGAAAATAGGAAATTGAAGTAAAACATAATCTTTTAGAACAATTCTTGACCAAAAGGCCTTATACAAAGCAAATAAAAAGAAAAAGAAAAATTCCTAAAAACGAATTTAAATCATAATCAATTCATAATAATGCTTTCTTGATCCTTCTTGAATGTCATTTATGATCCTTGTTTAAGATACATGCTTGTCACATGGTATTTTAAGTGAATTCTTCAATCTGAACTCCACATGGGCCTTATACATCTTCTTGTTAGGCTTTTAGCAATGTGATCATTGTTCTTGGACTCTTTTTAGGCTCACTAAGGCTATGTTTGGATCTCCGTTGGAGATGAAAAAAGCATATGGGAAAGTGTGCAACTGACTTTTGTGGCTTATTATGGCTTAGAAGATTGTTTGGATGGGGTTTCTTTTCTAATTGACTTATGGGAAAAAGTAACTTTTCTAGCTGACTCATCCAACACAATCTGGATCAACTTTTCTAATTGACTTATGGGAACACTATGCAAAGCTTATGATCTAATTAGTTATGTAATTTCATTTACTTTAATTAGAAACCAAATAAATTTTAATTTATATTCATGTTTGTCCATTATGTATATTTAATTAATTATCTACAATGTGTTTTCAAATTTTTCTCCGTAACAAATATTTTTATTTTATAATTTCACAAATAAACTATTTATATTTTATCATAATAATTTTACGTATTTTTTTAAACTATTATCACATTAAAAATATAAAATTTCAAACACTACTATTTAATAAAGTCCATGTCCTTTTCAGTCATTTTACAGCTAAATTAACTTTTCTATTAATCATCCAAATAACTTTAAACTTTTTCAACTCACTTTTTATAAACACCTATCCAAACATAAATCACATTACACTAACTGACTTTTACTCTAACTTCAGTTACAAAAGTCAGTTGGACTAGAAGTTAGTTTTGCCCAATATCAATCCAAACACACCCTAAAATGTGCTTCCTCCAAATAAATGAGATCCAACTCTTTTAGCTCTCTTATTAAACAATTCAGGATCTCCTTTATAACTTTGGTCCTTGCTCTTGTCATTGGACTTCCAATACCTTGTAATGGATCTTTTGAAATTTTGAACTTCTTTCCGTGTGTTTGGACTCCTTACCCTTCCCGATAAAAAGGCTTCGCATTATGAGGCAGCATTGCAATGTCAAAATCTGGCTTGTTGCCCTTCAAGAATCCTTACATTGTAAACGGACCCTATGTTAACAAAATTCTTCATTAAGAAAAATAACAACTAAAATCCTTTCCACTCCAAGTAAAAAAATTGAACTAACAAACATAATTCCATTTGCTAATAAAACTTGATAATTCCTCTGCATTGCCTGTACTTTCATTCGAACAATCTGACATTCTATACTTTACAAGATCTGAAAATAAAATGGAAAATAAATAAAAGTGACAACGAAGACAATAATAGCCTGTTTGGTTGAATTACATGAAAAGGGATTACATGTAATTATAATGTAAAGAGCTTGTTCAAATGTTTGGTTGAGCTTATGTAATGTAAACATTTTGTAATGCTGATTACATTAACTGAGTGCATTAGGATTACATAGGGGGAACTCATGAATGGAGATGTAGACCTCTTGTAATTGAATTAAAAAGACAATGTTACCCTTATAATTTTGAAATTGATTTTATTCACCCTTGAACTTCTTTCATACATCTTGCTTCCCATACATTCATCCCCACCGACTTTTGCCAAACTCCTCACCATTTTCATCTCCAATGAAATAGATCTAACAACCTTCTTCATCTCTCCACCATCAACAGTATCCCAGATTCTTATCGCCATTTTTTAGCTATAAGCTCAACCAGATCTGCGATGAGAGAGGATGGATGAGAAGCAAAGAATCTTTGTTTCCCTTTCATTCGACCTTTCTTCTATCACCTCTATCTATCTCCTCCACCTTCGTCGACGTCACTTATCCCACCGTCATTGATGGCCTCATTAACTCTAGGTCCCTCCTCCACCAAGTCATGAATGTCCCCTTCTCTCTAGCTCTCCACAGCTCACTCTTCACCAAAACCATTCATAGAATACGGATTTATAAGTAGGATATTGATATTTATGGTGTTGAGAGATGACGGTAACAATTGAAGATGAAGGAAAGCAAGTGACGGTGGGAGAGAAGGTAAAGATGAAGAGAAAGGGGATGGGCTATCTTAGTCTTTTGACCTATATTATTATTAAATTAAATAAATAAAAGTTCAATTTATTATCATCATCTCTAATATCAAACCAAACAAACTCATGTAATCCTTATTACATTACATTCCATTCCTTACCATTACATTACATTGTATTCCCTCTAATTCAATGAACCAAACGGGCACTAAATTATAAACTCGGCTTGGAAATCAAATAAAGGGTAAAGCAGTATATGTAATCGCGTCGGCGTTGGAATTGAAATCATGGAGGAATGTCCAGTCCAATCTCAACCCCAATGTGCCCTTCTACCTAGAAGAGTGCTACGATTCACCGGTGATATATGATAAGAGGTTAAGAGAATAAGAGAGAGATGGAACTATGGTTTGAAAGGAACTAACCACAATGCTTGCAGATGTGATGAACTGAGCGATGGCTCTCATGGCTAATATCTTTAATTAAAACGTCTGGTGCAAGAAGATGGAATGCAAACATGAAAGCTAAGATTATATCGGTGAAGTGTCGTGAGCTTTCAGCAAAAAAATTCGAACCTTCCAAATTGAAGTGAGGTAACGATATAATGGATGACAAAACCAAATCAACGATGGCAACTGAAGAGCTTGATTTGGTCTGAGAGGAGCTAAAGTGAGGCAGCAAAGAAATCAAGACTTGAGCAAGAGGCAAATAGTGTTCTACAATTCCGACCGATAAGTGAAGGGAAATAAACAACTGTAAATGGGTTCCTGCGAATGTGGTTAGGGTTATACTTTGGGTGCTTTTGAAAACTTGAGTTTGAAATTTGAAATCTTAAAAGGGAAGCTTATCAGGAAAGCATTGGTACATGCAAAAAGTCCACTGGGGAAAAGTTGGTGGCAACTCCGATTGGTTAGTCTGTCAGATTAATTACCATTATTTATTATTCATGGTGGTGAAAATATTGAAAGATTGAAGTCATCTTGTGAGTCTGACATGTGATGTGCGAACCACCGAATGACTTACCAATTACAAATTGAGATATACGACATGTATTATGCACAAATGGACTGATGAATAATTTGCTACAAGTTTTAGCAAGTTATATTGATATTGATTGATTGATGAGGATTCCTATTTATAAATGCAAAAATAAGCTCAACCTCTGGATAATCAAGCTTCTTTTCCTTTCTCTACAAAGATCGTTGCTATAAACCAAATAGTGGTTATGGTAAGAACATGCCATTTTCTATTTGCTTTCACGCCCCCCAAAGCTACGTGCAACAATTCGTATAATATAAATTCATGCTATCGTATCTCCTTTGGTTCTCATGCATCAGGAATTTGCACTACTTATGTTTTATTACACACCCAGGTTTGGTACTATTACAGATAAAGGAGGTACACTTAAAAACTAAACCCAGCTTTTTGAGTCCGGCGGATGAAACAGCCTAGAGAAAGCATGATATGACAAAGAACAATCAAATAGGAAATCTATCATCAAAGTTCACAAAGTCAAGTTCTATCTAGTCTCTCGCAGCTCCCAATGAAAAATCACAGGGGCTTTGCGCCGCCACCATTTTCCTGAACATTACTAACAGGAGTAGATGATCCACTCCTTCTAGCACTGCTATGTCCTCCCGTGATAGTCCGGCCCATGAACTTACCTGCCTTGCTCAATCCACTGCCGACAGCTCCAAGACCACTACCTACAAGCCCCACCCCAGCACCAACACCAGTACCAACAAGCCCCACCCCAGCACCAACACCAGTACCAACAAGCCCCGCACCAGCAAGAACACCGGTACCAACCATTCCTACACCAGAACCAACCAGTGATGCTGCTCCGTCTATAGCATCCATGGTGCTTCCTATAACTCCTGCCTCTTTCAACTTCTTCCTTTCTTCTAGTATCTTCTTCTCTGCTTCTAGAGCCTCCAACTGCTCTTCTTTATTATATTGATGGTATAAGACCTGGAATTTCAAACGAATTCGATCTTAAAATCAACCAAAAGTGTCTGGAAATGACAGGAGTAACAACCTATATCATAGTTTGAAAAACAATAGCAGAATAATCAAATAATCTTTGAAGAATTTGACCGTCTGTCAGACTCAGTGAAACGAGAGTTTTCTCCCTTTCTCTATCATCCAAGGGTTTGTTTCTTCTAGCTATTTTATACATTCATCTACACTCTGAATATGAATTCTACAGATGTTAGGATTATCCAAACAACACATTTTAATTGCAAGGAATCTAAATTGCAGTAATTCAAAATCATTGCATTTGAAATTACAAGTCAGTCTAATTACAAAATCCAAACACACAAATGAAAAGAAACCTCACCCCATCTCAGTTCTCATCAATATCAACTATAAACTGCAGAGGGTCTCATATTAAAATATATATGCACATAATGTCACAAACAAAGTCAATTAAAAGACATATTTGTCTTAACAATAAATAGATACCGATATATTTATACCTTAATTGTCAATGATCCTCGGTCCTTCTTATCTTTTACCTTCAGTGTGTCCAGCGATGGCAGCAGCCTCAACTCAATTTCTTTATCAGTTTCAGGTTCGAGATCAATAAGGGGTAATTTTACTATTCCCAACCTCTTATCTTGCCCAATATCTTTATCAAAAACCTAATTCAAGAATCACGATACAAGAAAAATAAGGTTCCTTGGCCCCAAGGAAAAAAAAAAAAAAAAGGTTAATAAGGGATAAAGAGTCACATTAGAATGAGGAACGAGGATAGACACATATTAATAACTTCACGGATAGTGGAGAGGAAAAAGAGAAGAAAACCTTGTTTTCAATGCTACAAAAAAGAACAGAAAAGTATAGTCCAGACTCCAGGGATGAAGACCCCAGAGAGGAATCTGACACAGTTTTGAAGGAAACCACCAAGATGCACATAGAATGGCTAGAATTTGAAGTTCTCTGTTTTCAACTACAGTTATCTTCATTTATATTGGCTAATGAACTAATCGGCAATTTCAAACTTTGTTATCTCTACATACAATAACCAAATAAGAAATGGAACGCCATATCTTAGAAAAGATAAACCAATCAAATAACCCATCATATTCTCTTTCAGCCTAATAGTCTGTTTAACATGTTAGATTTATACTAAACAAGATAAGGTGCTTAAATCCAGCGGACGTACCCACAAAGGACCTAGTACTTGAAAGTTTTTTTTGGCTATTATATGCTTCGGAAGTTTACTTTCACTGCAAAAATACCCTGGCCGTTATTTGCTGTTAAGTTTGATTGTTAAATTATACGGTTTGACCGGTGTTTTTAACGATCAAACTTAATGGTAGATAACAGTTCAAGGTAGAAGTGTTACGAAATAAAACTTCCAGAGCACATAAAAACCAAAAGACCTTCCGGGTGTTGGGTCCTCCTTTTTGGATACTTTTGGGGTATTTAAACACCTTATCCCATACTAAAAATATTAAACTAGAATGCCCCATGTCCTCAACTAAATGAAAAACCAATTAAATAAAGCTCACCAAAGCAAAGAAACATAGAAGAATGGCTTAACAGATCAAGATTAAAATCTTCAGAGCCACTTTTGCATTAAAACAGAAGTCACTCTTGAGAATGCCAACCATATCCCCAACACTTACCTGTTTTGTTTCTTTATTTTTTGTTTAGTTCCTTTATCCTGTAACTAGCATCACCATGTTTGAATTTAAGCAGTTAGATGTGCGATTCTAATCTAACGGAATCCCCTCATATCTCAGATTGAAGAATGAGACAGTCAAAGGGAGAAAATTCTTCTGTGTTTTATTCATTCTCATTGAATGTACATATATATAGGTTAAAGGACTCGGCCAAGTTAATGAGGAGGCCAGAAGTCAGGGGGATACAAATAGTAAATAATTGAAAATCAAACTTATACTATTTACATTAACCAGCAATAATTTCAAGATCCTTTCACCTATAGTTTTAGGATTGAATTCCTAAACTCCCTCTCAAGTTGAATTATAGATATCAATCATGTCAAACTAGCCAATGGAATAATCAACTTGTATCTAGCAAGTCCTTTCATAAGGATGTTTGCAGTCTGCTCATAGGACAATATATAGGATAGGCTGATTATACCACCATCAATTTTTTCTCTTATCGAGTATTTGTCAATCTCCACGTGCTTGGTTCAGAAGAAGACAACAATAAAGCAAAAATCTTCCTGATTTCATTCAGATTATACATGGACATATATAAACGAATTAAGGCATATTAAGAGGAGGCAGAGAGTCAAGCAATTACAATCAGGAAAGAATTTGAAATTTGAACTCCTAATCTATATACAATAAATGATTGTAATTACTCTTATTACCCTACGATTTTCTACAGTCCACCTCAAGTTGGACCATAGATGTTGATTATGTCCAGCTTGCCAACAAAATATTCAAATTTATCTTTGGCCAGCTGTTGTGTAAGGACATCTGCTGTTTACTCTCTTGAAGGCACGTATGTGAGGCTAATATTCCACCATCAATTTTCTCTCCTATGAAATGCTTGTCCATCTCCACATGGTTGGTGTGATCATATTGGACCAGTATGTGAGATATTAATAGTTGTCATCCTATTAGAAGAGCTTAATAGATAGATTCACACTTACCTTTAATTCTTCGAGTACAGCCATATACCTCCACACATCCCTAGTGCTATGGCTCTAAATCTGCTTCAGCACTGCTTCGTTTGTTTTTTGCTTCTCCAAGTGATAAGGTTGCCCTAGACAAACATACAACAATTCGAGGTGGGTTTTCTGGCATCCTAGTCGCCTGCCTAATTGGCATCTGTGAACATGTCCACATTCCTCTTCTCAAATTTCTTGAACAGAAGGCCACGTCCCAGAGTACCCTTTTAAGCACTTGAAGATTTTGTAGACTTCATTAAGATGCTTCTATTTTGGATCACAAGAATGTTGGCTAACCATACAAACTGCAAAAGCTATACCTAGTCAGGTATGAGAAAGATAAATCAGCTCTCTGACTAGGCCTTGATATCTCCCCATATCCACAGCCTTGCCCAAGTCTTCATCATCACTAATCTTGTCTACTCATATGGGGCTGTAAATGGGTCTGCACCCTATCATGCTTGTCTCCTTCAAGAGATCAAGAATATAATTTTTTGTGAAATATAAATTCTTTTTCTTAATCTGGAAACTTCCATTCCAAGAAAGTATTTCATCTCCTTGAGGTCATTGATTTGAAATTCTTAGGCTAATGCTTTCTTACTTTGATCAATTTCTACTGAATCATCACCTATAAGGACAATGTCATCCACATATACCATGAAGATTTCTGCTTTCTCATGTTGGTGTTTGAAGAGGAGAGTGTGATCACTTTGCGCCTAGGTAGATCCTTGTGTTTCCAAAACTCGAGTGATTCTCTCGGACCATGAACCATGCATGAGGGGACTGCTTCAGTCCATACAATGATTTTTTGAGTTTGCATACTTGACTTGTACTCATACTAGGAACACAAGAGGCAACTTCATATATATTTCCTCGTTCAATTCTCCATTGAGAAATATGTTGTCGTCACCTAGTTGGTGTAATGAGCAATCCAAATTTGTTGCTAATGAAAGTAAGATTCTAATTGTATTCAGCTTTACTACAAGAGCAAACGTTTCTATAGAATCCATACCATAAACCTGAGAAACCTTTCGCAACGAGCCTTGCCTTGCCGTTTATTTGTCAAGGGTCCCATTTGCTTAGTATTTTAGGGCAAACATCCACTTGCAACCCATAGATTTCTTACCCCACGGGAGGTCTACCACATCTCATGTTTCGTTCTTCTTCAGGGCTTCCATTTCTTCCATAACAGCTTGTCTCCATTCAAGAATAGCCAGCGCTTCATCTATATTGTTTGGTATCTTGATACTATCTAGGTGAGAGACAAAAGCACAATACTTTGGAGAAAGAGCCTTGCATGAGACAAAGTTCTCTATGGGATGATGTCTTGTAGAAGATCTAAGCTTTTTTCTCAACGCAACAGGTAAATCAAGATTTGCTTCCATGCGCCTGTTCAACATCAATCACACCTTGCTTTTCATTTGGACTTGCCATCGATTTTGTCTCTTGACATGCGTTGGGTGCCTATGCGACCTCACCTGTCTTGTCTCTCTGTGTGTAGACTTCTACAAGATTGGTAGTGTCTCCCCTAGACTAGACTTTCCTTTATTATCAGGAACTCCCTCACTTTCATTTTCCTCAAGAATAGGTGTTTCAAGAAGGATTTCTTGAGACTCAGGTTCAGAGAGGATTTAATGGGGTTATGGTTCAAAGGTTTTTGGATGTTCTGGTACTAGTATGGTGTCATTGGTAGTGTCAGGATGCAATTCACTCCAATTCTCCCCTTGAATTGAATCCTGAGTAATAGTAGGGAATCCCTTTGTGAAAGGTGATATCACACAGGATAAGAGGCGTTTTAATGACAGTATCGCAACATTTATACCCTTTTTGAGATGCGGAATAACCCAGGAAGATGCAACAAACAACTTTAGAATCAAATTTGTTGGTGTGATAGAGGTGAACAAAAGTGGTCCAACCAAATACTTTCAAGGGTGGTGTGTTTCAAGGCATGGGAGACTGTAGTAGTCATGGAGGACTTGTAATAGTGTTCTGAAAGACAAAAGCTTGCTAGGCATTCAGTTAATGAGAAAAGTGGCTATGAGAACTACATCATCCCATTAGTATGTTGGAATGTGACTACTGAACATGAGTGCCCTAGCGGTTTTCAGGATATGTCTGTTTTTTCTTTCAGCAATGTTGTTCTGTTGTGGGCTGTAAGGACAAGTACTTTATGGACAATGCCATGATGTTTGAGGAAGGTAACATCTGTGCCATTATCAATGTGGAATGTTTGAATTTTGGTTGGAGTTGAGCTTATATCATATGGTAGAAATAAATGAATGTATGTGTAATTCGTGCCATAAACTTGCTACTAATGATAATAGGCCATGATTCTGTTAAGTTTGGCTACTGATGCGAATGTTTTTGCTAGTAGTAGGCTGTTTGTGGTGCTGTTGGTCGGATCTCAATGCAGCAAGCATCTCCAATATCCTACCTTACTTATCATTTTGAGAGCCCGAATTTGAGACACTTGGCTCCTCATCTTTAGATTGTTCAGCAATGTAACCATGGTCCCTTCCTTTCTTGGAGTATCCACAACAACATGTTTCTTTCGTGTGACCCACCTTTTTGCAGTGGTCACAAGCAGGATGACCTCGATTATTCTGCTAGTTAGAGAAACATACGACAAGAGCTAATGACTTAGGTTGGCTATTTCAAGGTGTAGATTCCTTCTCTAGTACCTTTCACTAGAGGTCTTTATGTCTTAGCATAGCAAAAGGCTCACGAACACATGGTAGTGGCTTAAGGCACAGAATTTGACCTCTGATGTCATAAAAAACTTTATTCATACCTGCTAAAAGTTCAAATAGGCGTTCCTTCTCCATTCCTTTTCAATGGTTGACAACATCATCTAAGTAATGCCACTCCTCCTCAGTTAGTGAGCCAAGTTCCCACCATAGTGACGTTTTCTCCAAATAATAGTCATTCAGACTTTTAGTTCCCTTTTTCAATTGCCATAACTCAGATTTTATTTCAAATATCTGAGAAGCATTCTCACTGTCACCACATGCTTCTCAAATGGCTTCCTAAATGTCTCTCATAAAGGGGAGAAACATAGAACTCTTCTTAATCCTCAAAGCCATCATGTTAACAAGCCACAAAGACACTAGTGAATTGTCGGACTTCAACTTCCACAGTGCTTTCATGTCCATCAATGAAGAAGCAGGTGAATCCTTGATGAAGTATCCAAGTTCCCCTCATCTAACTGGGGCCAAAAACATGTAACTTAGCTAATCCATTGATAATAACATGAACCAGAGAAGTAGTTGAACTCAGGGTTTTCTCACTCTTAGATGTTTCAGTAACCATGCAATATTACCGTTAGTTATAATACGAAGGATTATACTGTTTCCTCTTATGAAGCCCTCATATATCACCCCACAACATGGGATTTAATTAGGCTTCAATTATGAGATATTTCATCTTTAATGAGATCGGATTGCCTAATGCTTCGAACCTCTATATATATGCATCATATATCACAGAATAATATATTAGAAAACATATTCTGGCCCCTAAATATATGCATCATATGATCATAGAATAATATATTAGAAAGCATATACAGACTCAAAACAAAATGGTATGAGTGGTTGTAATACAGCCATGGGTTCAATGTAAACTCATTTTTCAAAATGGGTTTATACCTTTCGCAACTATTGAGAAAGATTTGTAACACTCAAATTGCATTTGCAAGCATGAGAGAGAGAGAGAGAGGATGTACGTGGGGTTGTGCAGGTGAGGACATCTAACAAGACCACCCCTTCTGTCCAATTCAAACATTGCATATCGGCTACTCCCTAGCATCTAATAACCTCTATGTGGGGTCATGCTAGGGCTTTGCTTCATGTTTGAGAGAAGTTCAAACTAGGTCATCAATGCAAGTGTATGCAATTGCAGGTCCTCACTCTTAGAAGATTCACTAATAGAGGAGAGGGACATCTCGAACTAGGAGGACCAAACCAATCATCCCCAAAACATATGCTTGACATTGCTACAATGCCTTCTTCCTGATCTTGAGGACAAGTTCAATCTTCATGGTAGGGGTGGGAACCATGCAAGCATGGGTATTCGTGGTATTTTCCTATATGACAGTTAGTGGGAGAGGGGTTATATAACAGGGGTCTGATTAGAGGGGGAATGGTAAATGTGGCAAGTGAATTGGGAGAGCTCCTATGCTTCAGGAATGCATCAAGTAGTGTGTGTTTTCTCCGTTTAGTTTTACCTCTATAAGACTTGCACTCTGTGGAGGAGTTTCTATCACTGAATAGTACTATTTTAGAGCTATGATTCCATCAATCTTCTTTGAGAGGGTAGAGTTAGAGGAGTTAAAATCTATATAGATGCAGATCATGGCAGATTCCTACAAAATAGAAGGTCTGCCACCGCATATTAGGGTTATTTGTTTTTTTTTTTTTTCCTGTTTTGTTTTTGGGGGGGGGGGTGTGGGAATCTAGTCACGTGATGAAGAAACAATCAGTGGTGTCAAGTAGTAGTGCCAATACAGAACTAAGGGCAGTAGGTCTTTCAATGTGTGAAGGAATTTGGATCATCATACTCATTAAAGAATTAAAGATCCCACAAGGAGGCCATTATGTGACCAGACTAGCATTGAGATGACAAAAAAGCTGATCTACTAGGACAAAACAAAACATGTGAAAATGGACAGACACTTCATCAATTGAGAAAGTGGAGGGTGGTCTAATCAAATTGCAGACATCATGACAAAGCCACTTGCCAAAGATCAATTTGAAAGACTTCAAAGCATGCTGGAAATGCTAAATATATTTTTTCCAACTCAACAAGGAATACCACGTCATGGGTTATGATTAGTCTTTAATCTTGAGATATTTAGGCCTTAATGTAATTGGACTGCCTAATGCATCCAACTGTTAGAATTGTCTCTTAAGGCCCAAACCTTAAAAAATGTATATATAAGATAAGTCAACATTAGGGTTATTTCTTTCTAGATCACTTTCATTCACCAATTTCTCAGTCATTCTGTTAACAATAAGAGAGGAAAACTGGGAAATTCATTCAACAAAGAGCAAAAACGAAGAGGTACACAATGTATAGTCTCGCTTCTAGCCTTGTCATAACCCACTCTCTCTATTGTAACTAACTAGTCAGACACGCACCCAAAATGACCCTATAGCAATAGGAATAATACCAGCAATAACATAACATATTATCAATAACACCCCCCCCCCAAAAAAAAAAAAAAAGGGAGAGAGAAGAATCCTTGTCCACAAGGATGGTGTTGCTTGGAGAAGCCAAAGACTTGAAGTGTGGAAACTGCTGCTGTATTGCAGAAAGATCTTCCCAAGTAGCATCCTCAGCTAGAGAGAACTTCTAGTGTACCAAAATTTGGGTAATTGGTAGATTAAGTCGGTTAGTGATCCTGCGACCCAATACTTCCTCAGGTTCCAACATAAATTGCCTTTGATTATCAATTGGGGGGCAATGAAGAGGCCACGTTCACATCAAGCCCAACATGCTTTTTAGAAGGGACACATTGAAGACCGGATGGACTCGAGTTTCAAGAGGCAAATCAAGCTCATAGGCCACAGCACCAATCTTCTTAATAAATTTGTAAGGACCAAAGTCTTTCACAGCAAGCTTATGCAGAGATGAATTATTGAGCAGATTTTGCCTAGAAGGATGAAGTTTAAGGTAGATCCGATCATTAACCTCAAATGTACGCTCAGTACTGTGCTTATTTGTTTGCTGGATCATCCTGTTCTGAGCTTTAACCAGATGCTGCTTCAGAATTTGCTAGACTAGCTCTCTAGCAATACAAGTTCGGTCAACCAAATCATTAGAAGAATCCACTGCTATGTAAGGTAAATGAACCGGTGGAGAAACTCCATGTACAGCCTCAAATGGGGACATCTAATGGCTGAATGGTAGTCAGTATTATACTAAAGCTCAGCCAGCGACAGCAATTTGATCCGTTGTTTAGGAAAACCACCGGTCATAAAGCGGAGATAACACTCCAAACATCGATTGAGAACTTTAGTTTGACCATCCGTTTGAGGATGATAAGCAGAAGAATATTGAAAATTGAGCCCATACCATCGAAACAATTCTTTCCAAAATTTACCACAAAAAATGGGATCTCTATCAATCACAATGGACTTGGGAAAGCCATGCAACTTAACCACATTATCAAGAAATATTTGTGCCACTTCCACTACTGTATAAGGATGCTTTAAGGGCACCTTCTCATCTTTTGCGCTGCTAGGCCTATCATTTCTTTTGTTTTAGTAGCAATTTACGATTGACCACTTCCATTGATTCTAATGCTGTAGGGAGAAAACTTAAGATATTGCCTCAATGCTCTTTTGAAGTCGCCTTAACTATATTAAGGCTTAGGTCGCCACTCAATATTTCTAGAAGGTATAAACTCATACTTTTGCCTGGCTAGTTTACTCTTTGTTTAACCTAATATCACCGATATAAAGAATCAGATTTATTGCAATCTCATCTCATTTAATCTCATTTACGTTGTTCCATGATTATCTGGACGAAAATAAGGGATGCAATTAAAATCAGATTCTAGGTTTGGTCGTTCCTGTTCTCCCTACATATATGTAAATGACTCAATAAGAATCAGAGCTTTTCCTCTGCTCAAACTTTCTCCAAGCCCTACATATATGTATCACATGAGCACTGAATAATATACAAGCAGGCATATTCAGACTCAAAACAATAGAACAAGATATGTAGTATGTCTTTAATCCCATCCTAATGACAGAACACTAGGTAAGTAATCAGCTAAAGTTCAATCTTAATATGAGATACTGGAAAAATCCGTAAAAATAAGTGAGCATTAATTAAGCTGACAAATAAGACATATGTTCTACTTCTATAAAAGGCTAAAATTAGTGAAAGATAAATGTGAATGAACATCGACAGGAAAGGAGGCAGAAGAGAGCAGTATTAGTGAACAAGGGGGAGCAATTGTGATGCAAAACCTCTAGAAAGAGCGACTGAGTCTCCTTGTCTTCGACAATCAAGTTAAACGCCTGATCCCAAACAGGATTCAAGTTGTTGTCAATAACCTTGGTTTTAACCTTAAATAAAGGTCGAATATGCAGAACTACATAAGGATCAGATTTCCCAATCATTTCCATATTCTTCAAATCATTGGCTTTCACAACATTCACTGTGAGATTTCCCTGAGGTTTAAGCTCCAGTTCACTGCAAATGAAAGAAGGGACTCATGTGCTTTGGGATGTATATATAAACTCAAGAAATAACATTGAACCAAACAACACAGCTTGCTAGCGTTTTTAGAGGGCCATCTAAAAGGTTACTGAAGTAGAATATGTAATAATAACTGATAAAAAAAAGGAAAAGGGTCCCATATGATTCATAATTACCTAATATCAATAGGTACACCACCAAGCGGGACAACGACCCTATGAGGCCATTGGAGCATATCAGTAACTATTGAGTTCACAGTGTCCTTTGAAATGTTGGGCAAAAAAGCAGATGAGTCATGAGTATTTATTCCAAATCCAATGCAGCGGGAATCAAGTCACAAGTCCAGATAACAAACAGAACTCACATCAATCATATCTGATAATCCAGGAATTGCAGTCAAACTTCCTCCAATGGCCTTAAGAGTGTAATCAATTCGAGGTTTTGGCTGATTATATATTAATGAATAAAATGAGTAATTCGAATAGTGGAACAAATTATAGTACAAATTTGCTATCACACATTAAGCATTAACCAATCCTGATAAAAGTAATTGAAATTTTCAGTTGAAAAATAGATTTAGGCAAAGCAGAATATAACAGTAAAATAAGAGATGATACTAATTCTTATCCCAGACAATCTTGAGAAAGACGTCATTCTAAAATCGGCACTATTATCTATCATGCTATAATAATTTGGTCAACAATAAAGCTAACATTAATTTTAATGCAATTAAGACAAATAGAATCTAAATTGACCCATTATGTCCCTTTTGGTTTTCTGCTTGGTCAACTAATTTTTCCATTCCCAAAAAAAATAAAAAATAAAGGCCAAACCAATCATATTTTGCAGTAACAACATTTATGCTGAGTAACATAGAGAGCTAAGTAAAAAGAAAAAGTAAATCTTTCAAAATATACCATGAAAAATCTTTGTCAAAAGCGACTTTCAACCTATACTTTTTATACTAAAACTATGGCCATTTGACCACAAACATGTCTTGATTTCTCAAAACTACTATTCCTAATCATGCACATTAAAACTACCCTTTGATAAAACTCCCTTACTACGTGCAATCAATAAGGACATTTAGGAGGAAAAAAATATGAACTTGAAGCACAAAGCGAATTTAAATCTTATATTTAGAAAAAAAAATAAACCCCATGTATAGCTTGTTGACAAGGATATGGGCCAAGAGCATGTTTAGGATACAAATTATAGTCTATATATTGTGATTCCTTAAATCTCGGCTTATATCTCAAGGAATTAATGTTAATTGATTATTTTCTTGATTTGATTCTGATTGGTGTAATCCGACCTATCCTAGTAGAGCTAGGAAGCCTAGGATCAGCTGCTATATGTACAAAGGATTCTGTTGAATTAATTAAGAGAGATTCTTGGGCATTCACAACTTCATGGTATCAAATCGACTACCATGATTTGCTTTGGATTGGGATTGGGATTGGGATTGGATCAAACAGGCCAAGGCACCTTCTCTTCATCATCTCATAGTATAACCATAGAGACGACGACTCAAGGAGTGAGCCAGGAATCGCCACAAGATGCCCAATCTACTGCGATCACCATTCATCAATTGAATTGTCATACTTATATCCAGTGGGAGCGAGGCTCCATGTCACCAGAAAGGGAAAAATTGGCTACTTCATTGGTGCAAAAGCAAAGCCATCGACCTCTAACTCAAAGTAAGTTGAGTGGGAGGTCAAGAATTTAGTGGTTCAATGCTTGGTGAATTCAATGACCACAAAGATAAGTGCAAGCTTCTCGCTGTTTCAATCAACTAAAGAGTTCTGGGATGCGGCACACGACATGTTTGCTTCTATCAAAAATATAGTAGCAACTCTGGAAATTAGTTATTGAATATTGGACTAATCTGCTTGTCTTGTGTTAGTAGTTAGACTCATACGAAGCATATGAGTAGTCATGCTAAAGTGACACTCTTGTATAACAAGATAAAGGAGGAAAAGCAAATATATGAATTCTTGATGGGTCTGGACGCCTCAAATGGTGGTACCCGAGGTCGTATCATGAGCCAAGAACAATTACCTAGGCTAAGACAAGTTTTCTCCATTATAAAACAAGACGAAAGCAAATTAAAGCTCTCAACCCCGAAACAACTTACAGCAAAAGAGAGTGAGTGAGGCACATTCTTCTCCAAAGGTGGTCAACCAAGTGATGATTGAGGGAAAGAGACTAATAAATGGTGTGAGCATTGTCACATACACCAAAGATATTTGTTGGCAGCTCTATAGGAAGCCACCAAATACTAAGGGCAGAGGCAAACAAGAGCATAGAGCTAACATTACGAGTAAGGAGCCTAAACTAGAAACTAATGATGAGTTAAGCAAAGAAGACATCAAATTCTTGAGGAAGTTACTTGACAATCATGACACTCGAGAAGCTTTAATAGCTACTGGTAATATTGCTTACATACGTAGTGCCATCTAAACTCTCAATAGCACTGTACACCATAACAATATGTGGATTGCTAACTCAAGGGCCATAGATCTCATGACTAGTAATAAAAATCTGAATCAAAATATAAAACCATGTCTTGTTCCTATGTTTATTAAGTAGCTGATGGGAAATTCATCGAGGCACATGGAACTAGAGAAACATGTCTATTTGGTATCTTGGTGTTTGAAAAAGTGCTTTATGCCCCTATTTAAAGTGTAATCTCATATCTATTAGCAAAACCACTCTAGTTCGGCAATGCCATGTTAATTTTCCTATTGTTCAATGTCTTTTCCAGGATTCGTAGTCGAGGAGGATTATTAGCGAAGTTGAGCATCTAGAGGGGCTATATTATGTTCAACATCAAGCACGGAGGACCTCAACAAGAGCCAACCAGTCAACTAGAACAAATTTTTCTCAAATTTCGAATCAAGATTTATTCGATATATGTCAAAGTTGTTTCCAGATGCCAATTATCCAAACATACAAGGAATGTTTGTTTCTCATAATCATGTTTCTTCTTAGTCCGTTGCACGCATTCACACCAACCTCTGGGATCCCCCCCAGACTCAAAAAATCTAACCCACACAAGATGGCTTGTCACGTTTATAAAGGATCACACCGGTAACTTGGGCTTTCTTGTTAAAAGAGAAAACAGATTTGACAACAAACCTTCCCAGATTCCATAAAATGATTCAAAACGAATACAATGATAACATAAAAATATTATGCAGTGACAATGGAACTGAATACACCGATTCCGCTCTCTAATCCCATCTCAAACAGCACGGTATCATTCACCAAACAACCTGTGTTAACTCACCATAGCAGCTGTTAGAGGTTGCACAAGCCATCATGCTTACACACAATGTTCTCAAATTCTTCTGGGGAGAAGCCATCCTCACCGCAACCCATCTCATCAATAGACTACCTTCAGAAACTTTAAACTTCAAAACCACAATCCAAGTCTTGTCCGAGACCTACCCTAACTCCCATCTCCTCACTCACATTCCTGAAAAGGTGTTTGGTTGCATTGCCTATGTGCACAATGATGATGGAGGGAAATTAGACCTTATAGCCTTGAAATGCATATTGCTTGGGTACTCCAACACCAAAAAAAGATACAAGTGTTACTCTCCTACTCTCAAAAAGTTCTTTATCACTATGAAAGTGTCTTTTGCTGAAAACCAAAGCTTTTATCCTAAAACAGTTATGTAGGGGAGAGTGAGCACGAATGGAGTTTTAGAATTTCCAAGTCATCTGTGGGAATATTCTGCCATTAATTGTACAAATTTTATTCTGTCATTGATTAGCTCTTTACTAGGCTTTATTAGCTTTTATGAGATATTATTATGCTTTCTGTCTCTAGGTGTATATATTCAGATGTAATGTACCATTCAAAATGAGTAATAGAATTATATTTCCCATAAAACACAACATGGCATCAGAGCATCAAGCTCAAATTCGAAATTAGGGTTCCTAGGCCATGAGTCAGATGAAGTCTTCTATCCAGTACGTTAGGGAACTAGTGTGCGTGATGATAGAGTCATTGTTGACTCTCACTGCCAGTCCCATCAGCAGTAGGAGGCTCTGATCAGCTAGACCCAGAGCAGCTTTGTGAATGGCGACACGTGTTAGTCACATGCGCCACCACAGTCTCCAACGACAACAGCACATCAGCGACGCGTGAAAGCGCGTGGAAGGTCCACTCCGACAGCGACTTCTCCTATCGACGACGGCAAGTAGTTTCTGGCCAAACCCAGGGGCTTCCCACGTTAGAATAGCCCTTTCTCGAAATATCCTGTTCACCTGCTATATGTTGTGTACTGTAGCCTTACATTTGCAGGGCTGTGGCCTCTGGACCACATAGACAATGAGCTTTTCTTCATGGTCAATGGTGTAGGAGTGATCCTATAGACGCTCCTAAGCACGTCGCCCAACGCTCCGAGTTTTGTACCAGTTACATCCGTGGCAAAAAGAGGAACTTTCCTTGAAGCCTTAAAGATGTCATGAAACACAATAGTATGGATTGTTGACTCAGGGGCATCTGACCATATGACCAATTCCCAGGGTGAACTTTTGTGTTTCATGACAACTTTTGTTGACTCAGGGGCATCTGACCATATGACCAATTCCCAGTGGCAAAAAGACGCTCCTTGAAGCCTTAAAGTTCACCACTTATACTTCTTGTGTTGGAAACATCAAAGTAAAAGCTGCTGATGGTTCTCTAGTCCCAATTGCCGGCAAAAAGAGTATTCGCATTTCAGATTTGATAGTCTTAGAATCTGTCTTACATGTACCTAAACTTGATTGCAATCTCATTTCGGTTAGTCAGTTGAGCAAGCAGTCAAATTGTTTCACTAAATTCCTCCTATCTCATTGTGTTTTTCAGGATCTACCCTCTGGTGTGACAATTAGAAGTGCCAAAGAGTACGAGGGGTTGTACTATTTCGAGGTCAACCAAGTGGGTAATTCACCCTCTCCTACAGTAAGTCATTCTGCATCTACCTCAATGATTTATGTTATAGCATAAGAGGATGGGCCACCCTAACTTCCAGTACCTTCAATGGTTGTTCCCAAATCTGTGTCCTAACTATGATATTAGTGCCACCCATTGTGAGGTTTGTGAACTTGCAAAACACCATCGATCCTCCTATCCTAGAGCCACTTATACACCTACCAAACCATTCACAACTATACATAGTGACCAATAGGGAGCATCTCGAGTTGCCAACTGCACCCACAAGAAGTGGTTCATTACCTTCATCAATGATCACACCCGTGTTTGTTGGGTGTATCTGTTGAAAGACAAATCTGACGTCTCATCTATGTTCCCCAAGTTTTATTCCATGATTAAGAACCAATTCAATTCCAGCATCCAAGTTCTCCACACTGACAATGGCATTGAATATTTTAACCACTCCATGAGTACGTTTCTTTGAGAACGTGGCATCATTCATAAAAGTACATGTGCTCATACAACCCAACAAAATGGAATCGCTGAGAGAGAAAGAACAGACACATCCTAGAGGTTGCCTAAGCCCTCATGTTCACTTGTAACGTTCCAAAATACTATTGGGGAGATGCTGTTCTCACTGCCACACACCCTATAAACAAAATGCCAAGTCGTGTATTGTCCTTTGAGACACCT